CGCCCGTGCGGGCGCAGGGACTGGCCTCGCGCGCCCCACGGGGGCACTGTCGAGGGGTGCAGGGTTACGCGCTAACGCGCAGCAGCGCCGCGCGGCCCTCTTTGCCGCGGGTGCCTTGCCCGTGCCGCCATGCCCGGCTCTGCTGCCACGTCGTCCTTCTCGTGTGCGGCCTGGTCTGCGCCCTCGGCTACCTGCCTTCCCCCTCCCCCCCTCTTTCTCTACCTGCATATGGGGCCGTTAGCCCCCCCCTGATCCGCTGGGCCTACCTGCCACCTGCACCGCCCGGGCTGCCTTCCTGGTCCCGGCATGGCGGCGTCCTCGTCCACGTCGGCCTGGTCTACGTCTTCGGCGACTTGCCCTCCTCCTCCCTCCTCCTTCGTTCACCAGGTGATGGGGCCGTTTGTCCCCCCTGATCCCGCAGAGTCTCTCTGCTCCACTCGGCCCCGCGCTGCTGCTGGTGCGGGGATGCTCTGGCGACCGCGGGCTCGCTGGGCGGGCCTTTCTCCTTCCTGCCCGCTTCTCCCCCCCCGCTCGCTGCCCCCCATGGCGGCAGCGCCCGGCACTGCGCGGCTCCGGCCCGGTGCCTGGCGCTTGCACCTGGCCGCCTCGGCGGCCCCGCGGATCTTGGCGCTGCGCGGCTTAGGCCCGGCCCTTGACACTGCGGAACGGCAGCGCAACGTGTGCGGCTCCTGCCCGTTCCCACACGCTGGCCGCTGCGGGGCAGGCTTCCTCCCTGTAGCACACCGGCACTCTGTCGGTTATGGGCGGCAAGTTACCAGCTTCGCCTGGCCGCCGCGCCGAAGACTGCGGCTACTTCCCCATGTTCGTGGATTGGACTACCACGGCCTGGACCTCTTCGGCATCTTACGTTGGTGGCGCAACTTTGCACTCCGACTCAGTGGTGCTCCTCTTCCTCTCGGGCGTCGTCCTGGTTGCGTGACGCGTCCTCTCCCGCAGTTGATGGGGCTGGTGTGCGCGAAGCGCCGCTGACGGAGCCGCCGCCGGCTTTTTGCCTCCCAGGACTTCGCCACCGGGCTCCTGTCCAAGGCGCGCCTTGTCCTGCGCTGCGACTTCGGCGCCGCCTGATCCCAGTGCTTTGCCCTCGCCCGGCCTTGACGTAAGGCCCCGCCTTCTTTTGCCCCCCCTCTGCCAATTAAAATTGCGCGCGGCCCGCTTGGCTTCTATCGGAAGAGGCTCGCTCTCGACCCGCAGATAACAACAAAAAAAGTGTTGCGTCTGCGGTGGTGTCGCGCGCGGCGTCGGCGAAGGCGCGCCAGCTGGCGCCGGCCGGCCCCTCGCGGGGCCCGCGCCCGCGCCTGGCAGGGCCGCTGGCGCGGCCGCCCCTTCCAGGAAGGGCCTTGCCGCGCCCGCTCGGCAGGTCTCATCCGCCTCGCGGGGCCAGCGCCGGCCCGCCGCGGAGCAGTTGTTGCGGCGGACGAGCCATTGCGTCCGCCAGGCATGCCGCCCATTATGCCGGCGCCAGCAGTGCCGCTGGCTGTGGCCCCTACGCGGCGCCGCGAGAGGTTGCGGCCACCCCCGCGGGCAGGTCTGCCCCCGACCTGGTGGATGTCCTTCGCCGCCGCAGCCGCCCGAGAGCTCAATCGCCACCCCGCGCTCGCGATCGGCCCCGCCGCGGGCGCCGCCCCGAGTCTCCGACGGCCATGCCGGCGACCTCGAGGCCCTCGGCGCCCCCCCTGCCGGCGCGGCCGCCCGCGAGGCTCCCGGCGACGCCCCGGGCGGGGGCGGCCCAGGGGGCGCCGCCGCTGCCCGAGGCAGGGGCGACGTCCTTCGCGGGCGGGGCGGCGTCGGCGGGGCGGAGGAGATCGCGGGCGGCGCCCTCCCGCAGCCGGAGCGCGACGACGTGGTCGAGGTCGCGCGATGCATTCGCCGCTGGGAGATCAGCCAGCGTCTCCCCGAGCGCATCGCCCGGCTCGCCCGTTTCTCGGGCGGGCCCGTGGAGGAAAGCCTCCGAGCCGCCTGATCTCTCGAGCCGAGGGCCCTCCACTTGTCCGGATTGGATCGACGCTTTCACCCGATGCGATCCCCGCGAATCAGGAGGGGAAAAAACACACAGACACAATTAATCGTCGATCCCCAGGAAAATATGGGAAAATATAGGAAGTGGTGGGGAAGACAAAATCCCAGAAAATATGGGAAAATATGGGGGATATTTTTATTTGTGTGTTTATTTGTGTGTTCTAATTTCCCTTTAGCGAAGACCCCCTGCTGTCAACGTCACCCCGACGTGAAAAAGGCAACGCGTGCGTCGCCCCCCCCGGGGGGGGCAACGCGCGCTCCGGGGCGATTTGTGGCACCTGCGTCTTGGCGGGCGATGCCTGCCCGTGGCGCTCTCGGGGAGCGAGATGTGCTGCCGTGCGGGTCTGCCGTCGGCGCGAACGACATGGGCATGGAGAGAATGGGCACAGTGCCAACATCGGGCCGGGCGAAAGGGGGGGATTGGGAAAGGGGGGGTTACGGAATTTGCTGCATGCAGCTGGTTTCGGCCCCACCGAGGGGCCCATTCCTCGATACATGGCCGCCTCCGGCGCCGGGAGGCGCCGGGAAAATCAGCTACGTGAGCTGATTCTCAAACCCCCCCTTTGCTATCCCCCCCTTTCGCCCGACCCGACAACAGCAGTACTTGTGCATTTTGAACAGCACTCGCTGTCCACGCCGCCGCGGCCCGTGTCCATTCGAGACAGACGGCCGCCTGCCCACCAGCGGCCGCGTCTGGTTTGGGGCAACACATGTTGTTGGGCATTGTGCCCATTCTTCCGTGCCCACTTCGGGCGTCCAGATACAGCGCGTTCGGGTCCGTCACGCGCCTCCGAGGAGGATGCGTAACATGGTTCTGTGCGTCCAGTGCTTCGCGCGGAGGCTGGCCCGCGGCCCGCCTCTGCAGGGCGAGCGCGTTCTTTCCCTCGGACAGGCGGGCCTGTCGCCGCTGCCGGGCTCTGACCGCCAGGGGCCCGCGGCCCCGTGGAGGCAGGGGGTGGGCTTCAAGAGGACTAGAGTGAAGTCAACCCTGTCCCTTACAGGGTGAACATTCAAAAATAGTCAAACAATAATATGTTTTTTTTGTTGAGTACAATCGTTTTTGTATATTGTTGAAGGTTTTGATTTTTTCGCCGGATATCGGCCTGTAGGGGAACGTGCCCGACCCAAGACCAGGGGCGGCGATCGCGGTCCGACCCGCGGAAGCCGCCCGCGCCGCCGGGCTCGCCGCCGCGTCGCGTTCGTCGGCGCTCGCAGTGCTTCGGCGACGGTTGTGGCCGCGCCGAGTGCGCGGGCGCGCCCCGGCGGGAGCCCCTTTGGATCTTCCGCCCTCAAGGCCTCCGCCGAGGCGCGGGCGGCAAGTCCCCGATCGGCAGCCGCGGCCAGGCGCGCCTCGTGGCCAACGGGGGCGGCGCCAGCGGCGGCGGATGCGGCGGCCGGTGCTCCGCGGGCGGCGAGGGCTTCCAGGGCGGCGAGGACGAGGGCGCCCAAGGAGGCCGCGTCGCCTGCACTGGCGGCTTCGACGAGGGCCACGAAGAAGACCCGGCGCGGAGGGCCTCAGGAACAAGAAGGCCCGCGAGACGGCGCGTGCAGCGGCCAGGGCAGAAGCCCAGGAGGCTGCGGCACGGGATGCGGGTGAGGCGCCCGAGCGAGGCTGGGGCGTCCTCCCTGGCAGCTGCGGAGGGAGGCGAGAAGAGCGGCCCACCAGACAAGGATGAAGTCTTGTAGGGCGGGGCGCAGTGAGGATCGGCCCCGCGCCCTCAAGGATCAGGAGGGGAAAAAACACACAGACACAATTAATCGTCGATCCCCAAGAAAATATGGGGAAATATGGGAGGTGGGGGGGAAGACAAAAACCCAGAAAATATGGGAAAATATGGGGAGCGTTTTCATTTGCGTGCCTTTGTTTGTGTGTCCCAGGGCCCCTTCAAAGGAGTCTCCACCCTTCGCCGCTCCCGCAGTCCAAGGCAGCTCCTTCCACGCCCCCTTGCCTCCGTCGACCTCTCGGTGCCGCCGCGTCGCCGCGCGCCTGGCTCCCGTGGTGCAGGGTCTCGGGCGCGCGGTCCGCGGCGCGAGGTCCACGCAGGCAGGTTGCCTCGCAGCTGCTCGGGCGAGCTGCTGCTCTGTGCCGTTCCTAAGTTAACGGGCGAAGAACGGTATAAAGTAAACTTTTCTGCCGTCGGGGGCGCCTTTCCCTGGGCGGCTGGAAAATTTATACCCTACGGTGGCACCGTAGGGCTATAAACTTTCCAGCCGCCCAGGGACAGGCGCCCCCGACAGCGAAAAAGTTTATTTTGTACCGTTCTTCGCTCGCTTACTAAGAGCACGAGCGTGCTCAATGAGTGCAGTCGGTGAGCTCGCGCTCCGCCGGCTTCACGCGCCTCCTGGGTGGGTGGCGGCCGTGTACCCCTGACGGGATTGGGAAGGCGCGCAGGGTTTGGAGAGTTCTGGCATTACCTTTTTCTCCTTTCTTGTGTTCCGTCCGAACTGCTTGATCGCTCGCACAATCTCGACTCAAATCGGATGCCTGGTTGCCGTCTGGGCTCAGGCGCTGGCGCGAACGCATTCTTTGTTGAAAAGACAGCGTGCCGCTCTACATCCGTATTGTGGCCATGATTTTTCTTGCACCAAGCAGCCCCCGAAATTCTAATCGGCTCCCATCATGCTTCTCCTGCTCCTAACCCGCTCTTCCCCGTCTCCTGTTATGCGTTCTTCATTTTCGTCCTGCTCATCGTCTTCCTTTGTATTATTCGCGTATGTTTCTTTTTCCTCTCAGTCCCTTTCCCCTCATCTATACTTTCCCTGCCCCCCTTCGTCTTCATCTTCTATCTTATCATCGCTAAGGATAAATGCATGCCTGTTTCATCATGTGATATTGTTTTATCATGTGCTTGTTACGTTCTTGGCCAGTCTGCCATGTTGAATTAGTTTCCGTTCGCGGTTCCCCTCGCTTCCTCTCCCCTCCCTTCCCCCATCCCCGTTATCCCTCATACCGCCGTCTCGGTAAGGTGCTCGCGTATTCCAAGCAGATCCTGGTGGCGCTCAGGCGACCCTGCATTCTTTGCCGTCACCACCATCATCGCTATCGTCATCGCCACCATCATCACCGCCAACACCAATTAGCAACACCACCAGCGCCATCGCCATCACCATTACCATCACCTTGACCGTGACCATGGTCATGACCATCACCATCACCATCACAAGCATCATCACCACCAGCATCATCTTCATCATAAGCATTCTGATGATGATCAACACCACTGTAACCATCTCAGGTGTTGCAGCGGAATTTCCAGCGTGTTGTCCTTCAGATCTGACTCGCAGTTTGAGACTGACAGAGCGTTGCCAGGTTTGGCCCGAGGAGCTGGACATGCCAGGTCGCTAGGTGTTTCCGGTAAGTGCGGGGTTCAGCTGTTTTTACCTAACAGCGAAGACTGATAGGTTTCTAATGGGGTCAAAAGAGAGCATCTGATGACTCCCCAGGGGGGTCTGGGCTGGAGCCGGACAGGCGAGGGCCGGGCTCGTTTTAAGCAAACAGTCACACACTTCGTGCTCTTCGACCTCCCAGAACTCCATTCCCGGGCCACATTTTGAATGCCCGGAGCCAACTGTAGGCCACTTCGTGCTCTTCGACTTCCCAGAACTCCATTCCCGGGCCACATTTTGGATGCCCGGAGCCAACTGTAGGCCACTTCGTGCTCTTCCACTTCCCAGAACTCCATTCCCGGGCCACATTTTGGATGCCCGGAGCCAACTTTAGGCCACTTCGTGCTCTTGGACTTCCCAGAACACCATTCCTGGGCCACATTTTGAATGCCCGGAGCCAACTGTAGGCCACTTCGTGCTCTTGGACTTCCCAGAACACCATTCCTGGGCCACATTTTGAATGCCCGGAGCCAACTGTACGCCACTTCGTGCTCTTCCACTTCCCAGACTTCCAAGACTCATCATCTTCATCATCATCATCGTCCCCGTAGCCTTCTTGGCTACAGTTATCGTTGGAGATACCGTTATTTAAAGCAATGTTTCTACTGCTACTACCACTGCTCCCATCACTCCTACTCGTTCACTCCACACACTACAACTACTACTTCACTGTTACCACTACTACCATCACTACTACTTCTACTGCTACTACTACTGTTACTATTACTGCTGCTGCTGCTGTTGCTGCTGCTAGTGTAGCTATTGCTACTGCAACTACTGGCAGTGCCACTGCGACTGCCGCTGATGTTGCCACTGCGACTGCCACTGCGAATCCGAATGCGACTGCGAGAACACCAGAATTCTACAACAGCACTCTTACATGAATACCACAGGCAATGTTTCCAGCTATGCTTCTACACATCGCTGTTAGGTTGCTTTGCCGGGATAATTTTTTGTTTGTTTTGTCCGCCCCTCGACTGGGGCGAGCCGGGGGCTCAATGGGAAGCGTCTTCGAGGAACGACAGGCGTTGGCCGTTGTTTTTTGGCTGTGCTTTCAGTTTCACTCATAAGCGCGCTGAGAGGCCACAGGTGGCCGATCGCACGGGGTACAGGGTTGGCGGATGACGGGAAGCGTCTTCGAGGAACGCGAAGCGTGAAGCCGTTGTCATCCCAGACGCCTATGGCGAGTCACCGCCGCCCCATGCCTTTTGGAAACGCTCATGCGGCCAAACGTTGGGCCGAAGTCTGGCCCCAGCCGTTCGGGGAACACCTGGGAGAGTAAGAGGAAAGAGGATGAGAGGGAGGATGAGGATGAGGAGCATGATGATGATGATGATGATGATGATGAGGAGGAGGAGGAGGAGGAGGAGGAGGACCTGCTCGCGGCCCCGCGCACGCACTCTTGCGAACGTATTCTTGTGATGACCTCCTGTTCATATTGCGACTCGTATGCATCATTGATCCGGCGAAGAACTTCACATTCTCATGTGGGTAACTCCGACAGCATGATTATCAGCGCTGCCTTCTTCGAGTCGTTGAGCAGGTTGTCCCTCTGGTATTCGTCGGTTCGTTCCCTTTCGAGACTGAATCGGATCTTGAGCTCGAGCTGGTTGAGTGCCCCGTTTCGGCTGCCACGAGCTCTGGGCGAGCAGGCAGCTCGAGCTAAGTATCCAGATCAGTTCGGTCAGGACTTACACCTTTTGATCTGCGGGGCGAGAGCGAACCAGCCTCAGGCGCTGCAGAGGGGCTTACACGCCAAGGACGATATGATCCACAACGCGATCGTTCACAGCACAGTTCAACACAGCATGCAGCAGCACAGGGCAGCAGAGCACGGCACAGCTCGGCGTGGCGCAGCACCGCTCCCGGCTCCCGGCGCGGTATCGCCGCCATGGGCGGCTTCAGCACTGCCATTGCCCGTCGTCCAGCGGAGTCGCTCCAGCACGATGCCATGCCCTGCGCTTCTATGTCTACAGCTGTTTTTCTGGGCCTGCGCAGCGATCCTGCCTCGGAGGCGTCTTCGGCGGCGAGCCTGGAGGAGGGGAAGCGAGAGTGGGGCGGGGACCTCGGGCTCTCCGAGAAACAGGGGAACTCTGACGATCGAGCAACACGCACCCATACCCATAGGGGGGGCGGAGGAGGCTATGGGTGCGTGTTGTCGGATGGGGGTCCCCGCTCGAACGGGAACTTCCCCCAGGGTCCGACAACTCGCACCCATACCCATAGCCAGTTCCCCGCCTTTCGACCCTCCTATGGGTATGGGTGTGAGTTGTTCGCTCGTCAAACTAACAGTGACACAAAAATAATAACTCGGAGGTCCGCGCGGGTTTCTCGGATCGGCGCTGGGGCCCCCTGGCGGCGCCGCCCCTTGCGCTTTCCGCTAGGGGGCCACATGCGAACCCTACCCCTACCCCACACGATTTCTGATGGCGAGGGTGGGGTTCACTTCGCTCGGGAGATTCCGAGCGAAGTGAACCCCACCCTCCCCCCCTTCAGAAATCGTGGCGGGCAGGGGTAGGGTTCGCATGTGGCTCCCTATCCGCGCGCCAGGGAGGGGTCCAGCGCGGAGCCAAGAAATCCGCGCGGACCTCCGAGTTCTTATGTTTAGGTCATGTGTCGTTCCCCTAGAGAAGTTTTCTGAGCCTTCCCCGAAGACGCAGAGCACAACACACTTCAGAAGCCTGGAGGCCTTCTGCGAAGCCCCGCCGCTTTGGAGAAGGCCTTCTGCTTCTCCGTTTCCCTTTCGCTCGCCGCCAACGTTTAATCCATGCAAATGTACATATGTATACACACATTTCATATGTATGCATATACAGATGGAGGGGGCAGGAACAGACACACAGCAGGGCGGGACCAAACACCATAGCAGGAGCATAATAGAAGGAGTAGACAGACATGCGAGAAAGAGCAGCATCATCCTTCGGTCTGAGGTACCTGCATGACCAGGTGGGCATAGTCCACTGCGACGTCAAGCCGGACAACTTGCTCTTGCGCTGGGACGAACGGTCAGTGAAGTTGTGCGACTTCGGCACTGCAAGGTGGGGCCCTGGAGCAGGAGGGTGAGTAAAGTAGTGGGCGTCGGGACGCGCCAGGCACCTTGATGAGCTGCTCGCACACGCGCGCGCATGCATGCAGGACTTGAGCGTGTGCGTGGCAGCACGTGCGAGTGCAGGATTCTGCTTTGGCATGTAAGCGTATGCGCTGTCAACCTCGACGTCTGACGGCGATCTCCTGCGTATGACGTGTGCTTCTGTCTCCTGTTCTTGTACGCTTGACGCAAGCAGGGCGACTAATTCCAGACGCTTCGGGTAAGCCCACCAGCCCATCCAGAAACGATGCGCAGACGAGTTGCCCTAATCAAGGATGTGGAGGAGTATGCAGTGGAATAAAGGGCTGGGTAAGACGTCATACCCCAAGAGGGGGAGGATGGAGGAGGAATCGGAGGAGGAGCAAAAGGCGTAGGGAAATGGGGGAGGAGGAGGAAGGAGGATGAAGGAGAAGGAATAGGTGGATGAGGCAGAGGAGGATGATGTGGAGGAGGAGGAGGAGGAGGAGGAGGAGGAGGACGATCGATCTTACGAGACTAGCGGCGAACAGCGGGATGAGGAGGAAGAGGAGGAGCAGGAGGAGGCGGAGGATCGGTCTTGCGAGAGTAGCGAGGAGGAGGATGAGGAGGATCTGGAGGAGGAGGAGGAGGAGGAGGAGGAGGAGTAGAAGAAAGATGATGGTGATGGTGATGCTGTTGCTGACGAGGATGATGCTGCTCATGAGGACGATGCTGATGACGATGATGCTGTCTATGATGATGACGATGATGCTGATGATGCTGCTGCTGCTGATAATGAGGATCATGCTGACGATGCTGCTGATGCTGATGGCGACGACGACGAAGATGCTGCTGATGATGCTGATGCTGCCGATTCTGGTGATGATGCTGATGCTGATAATGCTGATGGTGATGATAATGAGGTTGATGTTGACTATGATGATGGATGATGGCGATGATGCTGATGATGATGACCGTGATGCTGCTGACAATTATGAGGACGATGATGACGACGACGGCGACAACGAAGATGCTGATGCTGCTGACAAACATGCTGCTGATGATGACGATGGTGGTTGTGATGATGATGCTGATGATGGTGATGATGACGGTTCTGATGATGATGATGATGATGATGATGATGATGATGATGATGATGATGATGATGTCGTTGCTTATGATGATGGTAGTGCTGATGCTGCTGATTATGCTGAAGACGCTGTTGTTGATGATGATGGTGATGCTGACGGATGATGCTGATGCTGATGACGATGACCTGGATGCTGATGCTGATGATGATAATGATGAAGATGCTGATCACGACCGCGATGCCGATAATGACGATGATGGTGATGCTGCTGTTCATGATGATGCTGCTGATGATACTGTAAATCATGATGGTGGTGGTTATGATGATCATCATGGTGTTCGTGGTGTTGATGATGATGTTGCTGAAGCTGATGCTCATGGTGGTGCTGATGCTGATGCTGCTGATGATGCTGATGATGATACCGCTGCTGATGATGCTGATGAGGAATATGGTGTCGGGGGTGGTGATGATGATGACGATCATGATGATGATGATGATGATGATGATGATGATGATGATGATGATGATGATGATGATGATGATGATGATGATGATGATGATGACATGATGATGATGATGATGATGATGATGATGATGATGATGATGATGATGATGATGCCGTTGATGATGCTGATGGCGATGATGGTGGTGATGATGCTGCTGATGATTATGGTGATGATGGTCATGATGATGCTGACGATGATGGTGATGATGGACGATGATGATGCTGATGATGATGGTGATGATGATTATGCTGATGATGATGATGAGGATGATGATGATGCTGATGATGATGATGACAATGATGATGATGCTGATGATGATGATGATGATGATGATGATGATGATGATGATGATGAGATTGATGATGACGATGGTTGATGATGATGATGATGATGATGATGACGCTGATGATGATGATGATGATGATGATGATGACGATGATGATGATGATGATGATGATGATGAGATGATGATGATGATGATGAGATGATGATGATGACGACGAGGATGATGATAGTGATGAGGAGGAGATGAGAAGACGGAGAGAGGAGGAGGAGGAGGAGGAGGAGGAGGAGGAGGAGGAGGGAGGAGGAGGAGAGAGGAGGAGGAGGAGGAGGAGGTGGAGGCGGAGGAGGAGGAACAGGAGGAGGAGGCGGAGTAGGAGGAGGAGGAGGAGGAGGAGGAGGAGGAGGAGGAGGAGGAGAGGAAGGAGGACAAGAGGACACCCAGGACTCGTCAACGATGTTGCAATCGACCCTCCCTCCAAGTTCGCTCTTCATAGATCGCTAAAGCGAATTGCGTTCACTGAGGGAAGCGTCGTCAGAAAACAACCTTTCGACCATCCTTAACCCTGCCAGAACACAAGTCTTCACGCTTCGCGTCTCCCTACCGGTCCATTCAGAAACCCTGTGCATGAGAGCTGAGGGAGAAAGGGACGAAGAGACACACACACATAGTGAAACAAAGCTGACAACCAGGGTGAACAGAGAGATCTCTGACTATGGATGACCCTTAGGCGTTTGATGGATTTGGGCCTCTTGGGGGGGTCCTGAGGGGGCTCCGAGATAACTTGAAACCGTCTTGTGGCCAACGTCGGGCCTCTTGGAGCCATGCTGGAAGCTATCTTGAACCATCTTCGGCTACCCTGGGCTACCTTGGAGGCCATCTTGGAGCACTGGACGCCCTCTTGGACCCATCTTGGTCCATCTAGGGCGCCTTGACTCTTCGCGCTCCCTGGAAAAAAACCCAGGGAGGGGAGGGGAGGGTGCCCCTCCCCGAAGGGAAGAACGTGTTTGGATGAGGAAATAAAGATACCATTTGACTTCCGTAGCCCGAAGGGCTGATGGGATTCCTGGGACTTCAGCGCCGCGAATTAACGTTACTGTTGCGCCCCGACGATCCTGAATCGTGACAGAACGCCATTCTTGGGACTTCAACACCGCGAATCGATGTTACTGTTGCGCCCTGACACTCCTACACCGCGTCAAAATACCATCTCTCCGACGTCCGCCATAGGGAAAGAATTTGTTGTAACCTCTTCAGACGACCGTACGCGTTGCCGAGGAAAAGTGGGGTCGGGCCGGGTTCATTTTGAAAAGCAGCCGCCCTCCAACCGCGAAGCTCTTGCCATCTTTTGAAACGAATGTGCGCGGCACCGAGGCGAAATCCACGTTTTGAAAACCGCCCACCCTCCACCCGTGAAACATCTGTTGCACACTTGAACACGAATGTGCGCGGCGTTACGGCGAGAGCCACATTCCCCAAGCAGGCTTGCCTGAGGGGTTCTTGCTTGCTGAAAGGTTGGCGCCTCCTATCGCTACTTTGCCAGTTGGTCGGAGGCTCCTCGGGCTCCTCGGGCTCGGAGTCCTCTTGCTCCTCGGGTTCCCCGGCCCCCCGTGCCTTCTGTTGTTACGTTGCCCGTTTCCTGGAGGTTCCTCGGGTTCCCTGGTTCCCCAAGTGGGCATGGCCAATGGGTTCTTGCTTGGCAAAAGTTTGGTGCCCCCTATTGTTACTTTGCCCGTTGCTCGGAGGTTCCTCGGGTTCCTCGGGTACCTCGGGCTCCCCGCCCCCGGTGCCTTCTGTTGTTACGCTGCCCGTTTCCCAGAGTTTTTTCCTCGGGTTCCCCCAGTGGCCAAGCAATGCCAAGCAAGGCCAAGCCATGCCAAGCAAGGCTAAGCCATGCCAAGCAATGCCAAGCAATGCCAAGCAATGCCAAACAATGCCAAGTAATGCCAAGCAATGCCAAGTATTGCTAAGCTATTCCAAGTAATGCCAAGCAATGCCAGGCAATGCGAAGTATTGCCAAGAAAAGCCATGCAATGCCAAGCAATGCCAGGCAATGCCAAGCAATGCCAAGCAATGCACCGCAATGCCACGCAATGCCAAGCAATGCCAAGCAATGCTATGCAATGCTATGCAATGCCAAGCAATGCCAAGCAATGTCAAGCAATGCCAAGCAATGCCAAGCAATGCAAAACAATGCCACGCAATGCCAAGCAAGGCCAAGCAATGCCAAGCAATGCTAAGCTATGCCAGGCAATTCCAAGCAATGCCAAGCAATGCCAAGCAATGCCACGCAATACGAAGCAATGCCAAGCAATTCCAAGCAATGCCACGCAATACCAAGCAATGCCAAGCCATGACAAGCAACGTCAATAAGTGCCAAGCAATGCCAAACAATGTCAAGCAGTGTCAAGCGCTGCGCCCATGCAATAGGAAGCGTTCCCCGAATTGGGGTCGCGCTGGGTTTATTTTGAAAAGCTACCGCCCTCCATCCGTGAAGCTCTTGCGAGGAGGATTCGAAGAAGAGCGAGAAGGAGGATAATGAGAAGGAGGAGGCGGACCACAGCAGGAGGAGGAGGGGGAGGTGAGAAGGAGGAGGTGGAGGCGAGGGAGGAGGAGCAGGAGGAGGAGGATGAGGAGGAGCAGGAGGAGGAGGAGGAGGAAGACGAGGAGCAGGAGGAGGAGAAGGAAGAGGAGGAGGCGGAGGAAGAGGAGGAGGAGGATAATGAGGAGTATATGGAGGAAGGACATGATAATGATTTTTTTGGGGTGGGAGGAGGAGGACGAGGAGGAGGACGAGAAGGAGGAGGAGGAGGAGGAGGAGGAGGAGGAGGAGGAGGAGAGAGGAGGAAGAGGAGGAGGAGGGAGGAGGGCGGAGGAGGAGAAGAGGGGGAGTTGGGCAGGAGCAGCGGAGGAGGAGGAGGAGAAGCAGGAGGAGAGGAGGAGGAGGAGGAGGAGGAGGAGGAGGAGGAGGAGGGAGGAGGAGGGGGAGGAGGAGGAGGAGGAGGAGGAGGAGAGGGGAGGAGGAGGAGGAGGAGGAGGAGGAGGAGGCGGAGGTAGGAGGAGGAGGAGGGAAGGAGGAGGAGGAGGGACCGGAGGAGGAGGAGGGTGAGGAGGGAGGGGGATCGTTCTCGCTCCACTCTGGACGGGCACGCGCGAGCGCCGCGGCCCAGCGCACCTCCGAGCAGGAGCGGGAGCAGGCAGGGCGGGGGCTGCCTATCGGCAGCGCCGGAGCGCCGCGGCACGCCGCGGCACGCCGCGGCACGCCGCGCGGCCCCCCCCCGCCCCCCCCCTTTGCGCCCGATCTGGCCAGGTCCTCTTCCTCTTGCTCGTCCTCCCTCTTTTCTCCTCCTCCTCCTCCTCCTCCCTCTCCTCCTCCTCCTCCTCCGCCTCCTCCTCCTCCCTATTCCTTATGCATAACTCCTCCCTGTCGCACCCCCAGGCCGGTCGAACGTCCGGTCGCATGTGGTTTTCGCCTCAGCGCCGCGCGCACTCGCTTTACAATGTTGCAAGAGCTTCACGGACGGAGGGCGGGCCGTTTTCAAACTATTGCTCTCGCTGTAGCGCCGCGCACATACGTCACAACAAGATGCAACAGTTTCGCGGATGGAGGGCGGGTCTTTTTCTCCACTTCGTGGTTCTCGCGTCAGCGCGCCGCACAGTCATTTTCACATTTTACAGCAGTTTCAAGGGTCTCATGGGTAAATCCTCCATCTTTGTGTTTTGGAGCGATGTCGAAATGTCATGTCGCAGCAGTTACGTTGATTCGTGGTGTTGCAGTCTCAGACATGGTGTTTGGCACGATTCAGGATCGTCAAGACGCAACAGTAACGGCGATTCGCGGCGATGAAGTCCCAGGAAAGGTGTCCTGGCACAGTTGCAACGGGGATTTTCCAACGGGGCTTTTCCTTCAGTAAAAATGAATCCTTTCAGGAGCCTGTGAAGAGAGAGCTTGGAGGGAGGGTTCGTTGCAATGTCGTCGGTGAGTCTTGGGCGGCTTGCATTGATCCTCCTCCTCCTCCTCCTCCTCCTCCTCCTCCTCCTCCTCCTCCTCTCTCCTCTCTCCTCTCTCCTGCTCCTCCTCCTCCTCCTCCTCCTCCTCCTCCTCCTCCTCGTCCTCGTCCTCGTCCTCCTCCTCCTCCTCCTCCTCCTCGTCCTGCTCCTCCTTCCCCTCCTCGCCTCTATCCCTCTCCTCCTCCTCCACCTCCTCCTCGTTGTTCTCCTCGGACTCCTCTTCCTCCTACTCCTCTCCTCCTCCTCCTCCTCCTCCTCCTCCTCCTCTCTCCTCTCTCCTCTCTCCTCTCTCCTCTCTCCTCTCTCTCCCCTTTCCCTCTTCTTCCGGCAGACGAATGGGGTGGACGGAGGACGGTAGACATGCTGCAGTCCGTAGACGAGCTGCAACCGCTCTTCTACCGCGCGCCCGAGGCCAAACCCTGGCCACGCTGGAGTAGAGGGAGAGGATTAGGAGGAGGAGAGAGGAGCACGAGGGGGACGGGGCAGGAGGACGTGACTGTGGATGTTCGTGGGGATGTGGGCTACGATGGTGGTGACGATGCTGATGATGTCCGAAGAGGGCTCGGATCCAGAGTCTTCTCTTAGTTGGTAAGCCTGCTCCGGGTGCCAGCCCGAAGGGGGCTGGCGGAGTTATCCTCGATAAGTAGCGGGATGAGAGCCAATTTGTTTGTTCGGCAATGGCATCCCGCGCGTGCCCTCTCGAGCAAAGTAGGCGCCCCACATCGGATTCCTCGATTAAGGTCTGGGTCCAGATGCCCCCGTCTTCCCTTGGAAAGAGAGAGAGAGTGAGAGAGAGAGAAGGCCCAGAGGCTGTCGACAGACAACATCCGGAGGCCTACACGCAAAGGACCCTTTCGTTTATAGGACCCTATCTGGTTTGCCTTAGCGGAGGAGGGCGAAGAGGAGGAGTCCGAGGAGAACAACGAGGAGGAGGTGGAGGAGGAGGAGGAGGAGGAGGAGGAGGAGGAGGAGGGGGAGGGAGAGCAGGACGAGGGGGTGGAGCAGGACGAGGAGGAGGAGGAGGAGGAGGGGGGCGAGGACGAGGAGGAGGAGGAGGAGGAGGGGAGGATGAGGAGGAGGAGGGAGGAGGAGGAGGACGAGGACGAAGAGGAGGAGGAGGAGGAGGAGGAGGAGGAGGAGGAGGGGAGGAGGAGGAGGAGGAGGAGGAGGAGGAGGAGGAGGAGGAGGACGAGGACGAGGACGAGGACGAGGAGGAGGCGGAGGAGTCCGACGGAGGGGTCCGCTGCCCCGCAGGGGCGGCGGCCCCCGCCCCCGCGCTGCTCCCCCCCCCCCCCGCGGCCGGCGATGCGGGGCAGGCCCGCGGGCGCGGCGTGGGGCCCGGGGGCCTCGGAATGCCCGGGAGCTCCTGGGTAGTGCCCGTCGTCGTCGCCGTCGCCGCCGTCATCGTCGTCGTCGTCGTTGCCGTCGTCGTCGCCGTCGTCGCCGTCGCCGTCGTCGGGCCGTCGTCGTCGGCGTCGGCGTCGTCGTCGCCGTCGTCGTCGTCGTCGTCGTCGTCGTCGTGCCGCCGTTTGGGCGCGCAGCCTCGGCGGCCCGGGCTGCTGCGGGCGCGGCCGCCGCGCAGGGCGGCCGCGCTGCGTGCGCGGCCGCGCCCCGCGGCGCTCCTCGGCGCCCGCCTTGCCGTCGCCGTCAGTCGGGCACGTCCCTCTCCAGGAGGAGTTCTCAGGACAGTCTAAAACAAGTATGGGGACGTTTTTTTGTTATGTTTTTTACTTGTATTTTATCTGTTTTGTGTTGTGTATGCGCTTTAGGTAAGAATTCATGTTTGACCATTGTTGGGCATTTCTCGGATCTGTTTTTCGCTTTTCTGCCACAGTGCGCCCGTAGGAGGACATGCCCGACCTGACCGTAGCATGTCGCGCTGCGGCCCAGTTGTGTTGCGCTGCTGCTCTGGGCGCTTCTTCTTTAGGAAAAATGCGGCAACGTTGATCCCATGCGTGCCAGTTCGAGGATGGCGCGCCCCCCGAATGGAGCCCTCTACAACTATTCCAGAGGTTTCCCTGGGATCGTCTCTCCTCCTCGTCCTCCTCCACTCCTCCTCTTCGTCCGAGCCTCTAGGCTTCCTACATGGGGTCGGAATAGATGGGGTCGGAGGATCGCACCGCATCGCCAGTGCATCGTCGATGCATCGGCGATGCGCTTCGATGTGGAGCTCGAGCTGCTTCATGCGGACGTCGCTGCTGCATTGCCGACGTGCTGGAGCACCGCCGATGCGTCGCCGATGCGTCGCCGATGCATCGCCGATGCGGCTAGATCCTCCGATCCCCTCTACTCCGACCCCATTTGGGAGGCCTCCATACAGTGGGGGCCCATGTCAAGAAACACCCTGCTTGCCTCCAGGGTGCCCTGGGCTTCTAGGTTTTCGATGGTTTTGCGATGGACAGTGTGACTTTGCTGTTGAAAGCGTGACGCTCACTCGCCAAAAATCGATGGACGCCCTGGGGTCTCAGGGATGAGTTTCTTGTGGAAGGTTTCTCGTGGTCGAGCCTCTACTGTAGTCCACAGCCGTTCTCCTCGTGAGGCGAGGGAGGGCCCGCCCCGAACTGGAAGGTTTCTCCGAAGGGCTTAGGCGACCCGTCCTCCTCGTCGTCGTCGTCGTCTTCCTCCTCCTTCTCCTCCTCCTCCTCCTCCTCCTCCTCCTCCTCCTCCCTCCTCCCTCCTCCTCCCCCTCCACCTCCTCCCCCTTCTCCTCCGCCTCCTCCTCCTCCGCTTCCTCCTCCTCCTCCTCCTTCCTTCCCTCTTCCTCCTCCTCCTCTCCTCTCCTCCTCCACCTCCTCCTCCTCCTCCTCTCCTCTCCCTCCTCCTCCTCCTCCTCCTCCTCCTTCTCCTCGGGCCCCGGGGGCAACCGTGCACCCCGAAGAGGTGTACATGGGCAACGCGCGCGGCCGGAAGATCGACGTGTGGTCGGCGGCCTGCACGGCTTCCGGGGGGGGGGATGCGCGGGCGCGCGTGACGGCGGTCGGCCGTCTCGGGGAGGGGGAGGCGGAGGAGGAGGAGGAGGATGAGGAGGAGGAGGAGGAGGAGGAGGAGGAGGAGGAGGAGGAGGAGGAGGAGGAGGAAGAGGAGGAGGAGGAGGAGGAGGAGGAGAGGAGGAGGCGGAGGAGGAGGAAGAGGGGGAGGAGGTGGATGAGGAGGGGGAGGAGGAGGAGGAGGAGGAGGAGGAGGAGGAGAGGAGGAGGAGGAGGAGGAGGGGGGAGTAGGAGGAGGAGGATGGGGGGAGGAGAGGGGGAGGAGGCGGGGGAGGAGGAGGGGGATGAGGAGGAGGAGGAGGAGGAGGAGGAGGAGGAGGAGGAGGAGGAGAAGGGGGAGGAGGGGGGGAGGGGAGGAGGAGAAGGAGGAGGAGGAGGAGGAGGGGGAGTAGGAGGAGGAGGATGGAGGAGGAGGAGGGGGAGGAGGAGGAGGCGGTGGAGCACGAGGAGGATGACGAGGAACAGAGGGAGGGGATAGGAATATGAGTAAAAACATGACGCTGCCATGTGATATCTCAAGACAAAAGGTCACTGAATTTGCTGCGCAGCTCAGGCCTTGGAGAACACACCCGTACGTACAGATACTCCTCAGGCATTCCCTCGCTGGGTGGCTCAGATCACGGCTATTGGAGCCCAGCACGAAGATTAGCGGAGCAAAAGAAGCCGCACGTCCCACATAACCAGACCCCAAGGTCGTGATGGCCCTTTGAATTATGAGTCCTGTGTGCTTACATGTCAGGCTGTCGTGAGACACGAGAAACGGCAGTGGCGCTATTCTTACGGTGCAGACATTTGCGACCACTTTCGCTTTGGACGTGGGACGTTCTAAACTGTGCAGCGGCGATTGGAACAGAGGGGGGGAGAAGGCGGAGTGGCAACAGCCTCAGGATTAGCCTGAGCATGAGAAACGCGGGCTTCACGCTCAGCGTCTTTTTCAGCTGCGACTGCCTCGACCTTGGCTCGAAGCAGCCGTCTCCTGATTAGTCCTTCTTTGCGTTCAATATTGTAACTCTTCACTCGCACATCGGGGCTGACTCTGTGCCTCTCCGACACACCATCCCACAGCGCGTCGGCAACCTCGTTACTAACAATCCTCCAATCGTTGCATCATTTTCGAGCTGCTTCCTCTGGAGTCGAGGGATTTGCAACACAACGAACTCCGAAGGATCCCTGGTCTCGAAATGCTTGCCCACTTCGCTCCAAAGTCAGCCCAACTCTCCTGAATACAAGATGGTGCGTACGATACCATCCAGCACAGACCGCCTCGCCGTCCGTCATATGCGTGTGTATATATATTGTGGGTCTTGTGGGTCCTGCTGAGCCTCTGGCTGCCTATTCGAGCGCCCGGAGTCCATCCCTCGGAGCAGTCTGTATTCTTTTTGTGAGTGGGCCTGAAGTTGTGGCCCAAACTTGGCACGACACAACATCCGTGACAACCCTGACTCCAACTCCAACCCGACAGTAACGACGCTTCACGATTCTCTTTGCCCCCAAACGCCTCGCAACAAAGCAGAAGAGGGACCTTCATTTTCCCTGTCCCCAGGGTGCCTGGAACCAGGTCCATGAGCTTACAGCACCTGAACAACTATGAACCTAGCGTCATCAAGAAAGAACTGAGAACGCTTCATTTGAGCTTGCACCACGCACAGGAAACAACACGCGATTTATCATAGACTTTGTTGGATTGGACAGTACACAACTTATCATTATTAGGGCATCTGCAATTCGCGCAGATAATACTGTGCTTGGGAAAGGCTGGGATACTCAACCACCCTTTCAGTAAGTTTACCTGGGGCTTGTGAGGCGGACACATAATGTGAACTGATGCTGTATACAGGGATGATTCCCCGAACAGTGCTTGCACGTAGGGTTTCTTGTGTTCTAAGGAACTTGGCCGTGTGGCCGGTCTGGCGGCTATGTCGTCGCCCAGGAGGAGGAGGAGGAGGAGGAGGAGGAGGGGGGGTGGACATGGAAGAGAGGGAAGGGGGAGGAGCGGTAGGAGGAAGGGTAGGGGAACGGGAGAGGAGGAATCAGAGGGCGAGGAGAGAGGCTTTGAGCTCACTAGGGGGAAGTATCAAGAAGGAGGGGGAGGGGAGGTGGACAGAGATTCGGAGGAAGTGGAAGAGGGGGAGGAGTAGGAGGAGGAGAGACAAGGAAGGTGATGGCGATTATGGTGATTGTGCTTCTGCTGCTGCTTCTGCTGCTGCTGATAATGATGATGACGACGACGATGAGGATGATGGTAATGCTGCTGCTGCTGCTGCTGATGATGATGATGATGATGATGATGATGATTTCGATGCTGATGTTGATGGTGATACTGGTGATAGTGATGGCGACGGTGGTAATGATGCTTATGCTGATGATGACGATGGTGGTTGTGGTGGTGGCAGTGAAGAGGAGGAGCATCGGGCACGAGGGGGATGACGAGACTTGATGACATGTTGATGACGATGGCGCTGCGGGTGCTGACGCTGATGATGAAGATGCTGTTGATGCTGATGATGCTGCTGCTGATGATGATCATAATGATGCCGCTGCCGACGACGACGATGATGATGATGATGATGATGATGCTGATGATGATGATGATGATGATGATGATGGTGATGCTGATGCTGATGCTGACTTCGATGATGATGATGATGATTCTACCGATGCTGCTGATGATGATGCAGATGATGCTGATGCTGATACTGATGAATATGATGATGCTGATGATGCTGATGCTGCTGATGATGCTGAAACTAATGAGGATGCTGCTGATGATGCTACTGATGGTGATGATGCCGATGACGATGAGACTGTGATGATGCTGCTGCTGATGGTGATGATGCTGATGGCGATGACGATGCTGCTGCTGATGATGATGATGATGCTACTGCTGATGATGATGACGATGCTTCTGATGATGACGATGATGATGATGCGGATGATGATGCTGATGATGCTGCTGCTGATGATGATGGCCATGCTGATGATCATGATGATGGTGATGTCGATGACGAGTATTCTGCTGCTGCAGCTGATGATGACGCTGATGATGATGATGATGATGATGATGATGATGATGCTGATGGTGATGATTACGATCATAATGACGATGATGATGCTGATGATGGTGAGGCTGCTGATGATGATGAGGCTGATGCTGATACTGATGCTGATGCTGATGCTGCTGCTGCTAATGGTGCTGATGATGATGATGCTGATGCTGATGATGATGATGATGATGATGATGATGATGATGATGATGATGATGATGATGATGATGATGGTGCTGGTGGTGATGATTGTGGTGGTGGTGATGGGGAGGAGGACGAGAAGGAGGAGAAGGAGGAGGAGGACGAGAAGGGAGTAGGTGGAGGAGGAGGATGAGGAGGACGCAGGTGGAGGAGGAGGAGGAGGAGGAGGACGTATGTGGGGAGGGAGGAGGAGGAGGATCGGCAGGGTCTCCCGGCAGAAAGGGGGGGGCAGATCTACGAGCTGATAGTGGGCCGCATCCTTTTCAAGACCTGCCTGACGCACCGCGAGGCGGGCCGCGCGCGTGCGGGCAGCTCGCCGCCGCCGCCTCGAGCCTCGACTGCCCTCGTCGGCCCTCCACCGTCGGAGGCTTTCGGAGGTCTTTAGCGACGTTGTCGTCGTCGTCGTCGTTCCGTCGTCGTCGTCGTCGTTCCGTCGTCACCGTCGTCGTCGATGCTCGTTGTCGTCGTCGTCGTCGTCAAAGTTTCGAGGATCGAGGTTGAAAATTTTTGGGCCTCCTGGGGGCTCTTCGGGTGCCGTCGTGGACACGGCTGGATCCGCTTCGAAGGTCTTGCCAGAGCGGGCACCCAGAGAGGTCCACGGGGTCGTCGTCGTGGTCGTCGGTCGAGAGTCGAAGGCAGAGGATCGATGCCCTCGTTGTGTTCTCTCACCCGTGTGGGGCCTCTGGAGGCGCTCATCGATCTCAAGGGGTGTGCGGTGCCAGTTTGGGCGTGCGGCCAGGTCTGAGGCTACATGAGGCTCAGTGAATCGTGATCTCGGGCAGCCCACCCGTCTTTCTTCCCTTGAGCTTAGCATTAAGTCGGGCATGTCTTTCTACAGGAGGATTCAAACATAGTCAAAACATAGTCAGGGGACGATTTTTTGATCATTTTTAGCTGAATATTCTTGATGTCGCCTGTCGGGGACATGCCCGACCTACGTAAGCTTGCTTCATCACATCCAGTGTGTCAGCTTCATATTCCCTGGGCTCCAAACCTAGCATGCCGCGTGTTGCTTTAGACTGGCGCACAATACGACCAGTTGTCGCATACGTTACCCGGCGGGACTCCTCGAGTCCCACCTCCTCCCTCTTCACCCAGTCCCTTCGCCTCAGAAAGAGGCCTAACACGAGCAGCAGTCAGCTTCGCCACGGCATGTTTGCCCCTCTTGCGCGCAGCATTTTCCATCCCCGCACTTGGAGACCTATTGCCCAGGGTTATTTACATTAAACACGAGGGTGGGTGGGCGTTGATTGGCTGTTGTGGTAGAGGCGTCTACAGCCAAGTTCCATGATTGTCAGCCTAAAGGACGGGGCAACGCTAGCAGTCCAATGCTCTACAATGTGTACGGCTTCAGTCCCGCAGCGCAGTTGTTGCCAATAGTTGACAGACCCTGTCAGTCAGGGAATTTTAACCCTCTCTCCTCATCCTCCTTCGCATCCATCCCCAGCGTGTTACGACAGCCAGACTAGAGTCGCGGCTAACACGTGTGGTGGAAAGGCCGGGGTTGGGTTAAAGGCTTGTGGGTGGTGAAGGATTGAGAGTCAAGTTTTCTCGTAAGACTTGTAGCCTCTTCTTCACGGACAGGACAACGTAAGGCTGGCATAACAACGCACCAGTGGTGTAAGTCCTGCCCCAGCCGATTTCTCTTACTTCGCGTCGAGCTCAGGGCAGTGGTTGGCACCCAAAGCCAGTCGCGCAGGCCACCGTGTATCTCCAAGCTTATCCTGTCGCCAGCTGCGACCAGTCTCCTCACAGTTGTGGGCTGCCACCATCGTCGGAAAGCAGATGTCCACATTTCAATCCGAGCTGGCTGCGCAGCCTGCAGAGCCGCCTCGTTGTCGTCTTGTGCCAGCTGTTATCAGGTTTTTTGTTGTCAGGGTCCCGTCCATCACATGTGCTTTCAAGCCATTTTGGCGTCATCCTCCCCGGCCTTGCATGTCAAGTGTTTGCCTGGCGTTAGAGCAAGTTTTTGTCAACGGCTTCCAGCAGATAGTACCCACGTCTGTTTGCGCGCACCAAACCGACACAACGCGTCCTGTTTGAATTCGAGCAGGTCGTACAACGGTTGCTATGTAATCATGGCTGTCATACCGTAAAGAAGTGGTGCCACCGCGTCGCAGTGCAAAACGAATTGTTCGTTTCAAACCGTTGTGTTTTCAATGATTGGTTCGGCCTCTTCAAATAATCACGTCCAGCTTCCATGCTCATATACGTCGGCGAGGGTCACCTGGTTGGGGTATCCATCAGACCGACCAAGGGTTTTCTCATGTTATAGGACCTTCACCTCAAGCTAAACAACACCAGCCTCCGCATCGCGGTCACGACAACCACCCTCATCATATGTTCGAACAGGTCTTTGGCTTCCAGGCGGGTGATGTTCACCTTGATCATTACCAGGATGCCGTGTGGCACCAGTGCCACGCCGCCACGATTCAGGGGTCAGCCGCGTAGAGTCCAAATTGCGGCACCTAGAATGCATTGCGCACAATCAGACGCAGTGATGTTTGATGGCAACCATTACGTTTCTTCTTGGAACATTCCGTGCTTTTGGGCAACCAGCTTAAGGCGTCACATATCCAGGTATCGGCCCTGATGTTCTAATATGAGCTGCGCAATTCTGCAGTTGGTCTGCAGGCACCGGATCAATCACGAGTGAACGAACACCTTTGCTCGAGTGATACATACAGCACGCCGCTTGGGTTCTTGCACACGTGGTCACGAACTCATACACACTCAAGCGTTGGCCGAAGTCCGTCATCGTGGATCTCAGGTGAGTCGTCTTTGCTTACCACAGGTCCTTTTATGCAGTAAGTCTAGAACCTATCTAGTGGCCACCGGCCCATCCAGCCACGGTGCCCCGGTTGTAGATCAGAGGAGTCTTGGATACTTGTAGGGATTTCTTGGGAGGGTTCTGGGGCACCTCTTGGAGGTGGTTTGGGGTGTCTTGGGGCCTCTGATGGGAGCCTCTTGTGGGCCTCCAGGGACTTCTGGGGGGCTTCTTAGGGGCCTGCTGGCTGCCTCGGGAGTCATCGCGGGGCGGAGGGCTCGACATGTCAGGTCGAGTTTCCCCTCCTGGGCTCCTCTTTGGGCCTTCCTGGTGCCCTGCTGTGCTGTCTTAGGGGCTTCTTGGGCCGTCCTGGGGCTCTCTTGGGCCGTCCTGGGGCTCTCTTGGGGGCCCTTGGGCTGTCTTGGGGTGATCTCAGGAGCCCCTTGGGCCGTCTTGGAGTGTCAGAAGCCCGAACAGGCGAGACCGGTCAAATGCTTCGGATACATTTTAAACGTGCTTTTTCGCCTCTTGAGGACTTATTTGGGGTGCCCTTCGGGTTCTCTTGTGGCGTATCTGGGGGCCCCTTGGGGCGTTTTCAGGCTGTCTTTGGTTCTTGGCAGCTATGTTGGCCCGTCTTGGCAGCCTTTTGGGGCCCGATGATGCCATTGGGGGCCTTCTTGCCTTTTGGAAATCAGCACCAGGCTCGCCGGGAACCTGGGGTTGTGGGCCCCTTAGAGAGTACTGCACTATTCCATACACGCGGTTCGCGGAGATCCGAGGACACTCTAATTCATGCCTTAGGTCACGGTACTGGATGAAGATGCTGCTTCATTGGGAAAGAAGCGGGACTAGCCAGTTCATTTTTCCGCATCCCCGTGCTTCCCTTACATCTCGTCTCGCTCTGCGCCTACCATCCTACCACCTTTTTCTCTGCCTGCCATTGAGGAGGATGAGGAGGAGGAGGAGGAGGAGGAGGATGAGGATGAGGACGGGGATGAGGGCGAGAATGATGATGCTGAGGATGATGATGCTGATGGTTACGATGACGATGCTGATGATGATGTTGATGCTGATGCTGATGATGACGTTGACGGTGCTGATGATGCTGATGATGCTGATGATGCTGATGTTGGTCATGATGGTGCTGATGATGCTGATGCTGATGATGATGCTGCTGCTGATGATGTTGATGATCTGATGATGATGCTGATGCTGCTACTGATGATGATGCTTGTGCTGATGCTGAGGATGATGCTGCTGTTGCTGATGACCTCATGCTCATGCTGATGCTGCTGCTGCTGCCGATGATGCTGATGCTGATGATGACAATGATGATGATGACGATGGTGATGATGTTGATGATGATAAGGATGATGCTGCTGACGACGACGATGATGATGCTGATACTGATGATGATGACGATGTTGATGAAGCTGATCCTGATGATGATGATGCTGATGCTGATGATGCTGCTGATGATGATGACAATGATGATGATGCTGATGATCGTGATGATGGTGATGATGATGCCGATGATGCTGCTGAAGATGATGATGATGGTGGTGATGATGCTGCTGATGATGCTGCTGATGCTGATGATGGCGATGGTGGTGATGATGATAAGGATGATGA